AGATGACATGTGTTGTGAATTTGTGCTATATAAATAAACTGAACTGAATTTAATATTTCGGTCAAAGTGAATAACTTGTTTTGGTTTCCCTTCTACCAATGTAGATCAGTTAAAACATTACCAAATTCGATGGGTTGTTTTAACCAAAAAAAAAACATTTTTGGGGTTGTACTGTCCAATCAGTTTTTATGGTGTATATTTTGGGGATTTTGTTTCTCTAAATCTTAGTTTTCATAAAAATCACTTCAAATCATGCGATGTATGCTATTAAAGTTGATTAACAATTAAAGTTGTGTGATCATTATCCTATTTATGTTGCACCGAATAGGATGAAGAATTTCGCCTTGTAACATTTTTGGTGGGACTGTAGGAACCTGGGGTTAAAGGCGACCATGGTTGGGATGAATTTTTTGTGTCTTATTTTCTTAGAGGTGTCCGTAATGTATCTCCAGTGTTAGGATCTAACGGCGGACAGTTCAGGCGGGCAAAATTTTCCGTTCAGTCTCTTCGGTCGGTCACGCGCCATCACGTGTCACTAAGTCGTTACGGAGCTCGGTGTGAGCACGAGCCGCGGCGGTTAAACCGTTCCCAGTGGCAGGTCGGACTGCAGCTCTCGTTCCTCTCTCATCCTTTAAAGCAGGGGATGCTGCGGGTACCGCACCGACCGTGAGCGGGTCACAGCGGCGGGCAGGAGGAGGAAGAGACGCGCGAAGGACACCAGCAGCACCGGAGACAGATGGGGATTGATTTGCCGCAGGCCCCTGCCGTCGTGAAATCGGACACCGACCTGCGGCGGATGGGGTGACCGAGCTCGCTGCTTCTCCGCCGGGGAGGCCCCATGACTGCGGACGTTACCTGCCTGGGAGCTGCTGCCAGCGGCCGGTTGTAAGGTGGAGGACGGAGACAGGGAAAGGTGAGGAAAATGCAGACGGAGGAGGAGACGGCCGCCGCAGAAGAGCCCATTTTGGAGGAAGGGTCAGGACGAGAGCAGGTGAGGAAGGACATCCGCTGTTTTTTCGCTTTTATTCTCGAGTTACGTTTGTTTACACAGTAGGGCGATTATTTCCCCTCCTCCTCCTCCTATAAAAACATTGTGTCATTCGCGGTGGTTCCCTCATTTCTACACCCTCCTCATTCTGTATTATAAGCATATTCTCTCTGACTAAACATGTATTTTTGCTGCTCTCTTTTCATCCTTTCTTTGCGATGTAAACAAACAAGGACACAGGAGGACCTTGACTTTAACATAGAGGAATGAAAACTGAATTATATAGATCATTAAAATCACGTACAGTGTAACATAAATCGCATTCTTTATGCTTTAAACATATAATAAATAAGGTGTCAGCTCCAAACTACACGAGGATTACATCACAGTGAAGCCACACACCCACATCATATCAGAAATTACACAATCAGACGTAATGTGAGCGTAATCACACGACACCTTGCAATGCATTTCAGGACAGAGCCCCACCACTGAGTGTTGTTTTGTGTTAAAAACCACCTCACACTTCCAACTGCTAAATGTATTTGCACCCTTGTTTCTTTTCTTCTTTTTTCTTCACATTTAGGTGTTTGAAATCATAAAAGTTAAAAAAAGAAACATGAGTATATGCAAAAAAAAAATCTGTTTTTAAATGGTAATTAAAGGGGGGAATGGGACTACAAACAGGGGTGGAGCTATATGGGGGGCCAGAGGTGGCCATGGCCTCCCTTAGCCAATCGTTGGCCACCCCTACCATTTTTTTTGCCCTCTAATACAGATGGTGGGAGCAGTAATACTCTCAAGGGGAATGTTCAAACTTATTAAACATTTAAATTTTTCATATATTAACAATTACTTGGCAATGCCATGGTTAATTATGCACATCATAATACTAACATTAAAGTTGATTAATACAGAATTTATGCTCTTTGCAGAACTAGATTTTGTATTAATATGGAGTAAAGAGAAAATTCTGTGTCTCTGCAAGTCATCACTGTCTTCAGTAAAATCATAGATAAATAACTACTTAAATAATAACTTAAAAATCCTTTTAATGTAGATATTAGTACATGTAAATATTAATTTTATGGAGAACAATTTTTGATAAAAGTAGGTAAGTAATGACAATGGACAAGATGTTCACCCTCGAAATTTTGTCCACTTTATTTAGACAGCATGGATGTTTAAATACCATTGTCCATTTGTTAGCAAAGGCTGTAGGACAGCATAGTTTGTCTTTATTTAGAAAATATGGATGTTGTGTTCCTTCCTGTTGGAACAGTGTAGACTGACCCTGAGATTCTGGCGCCTATCTGCTTTCGCCCCAGTCGGCCTCGGCAGATGGCCTCTCACACTGAGCCTGGTTCTACTGGAGGTTTCTTTTTGTTAAAAGGGAGTTGTTCCTCTTTACTGTCGCTACAAGCATTCTTAGTATGAGGGATTACCTTTCCAGTCAATGATTCAATGCAATCAACTGGTTTTCCTTTGATAGAAAACTTTGGATCACTCTGACTGTATGATGTGGTGAATTATAAAGTGCCTTGAGATGACATGTGTTGTGAATTGGCGCCATAGAAATAAACTGATCAGAATTGAATTGTGGTCTGACCCTGAGGATCTGGCACCTATCTGCTTTGGGCCACCCCTCGGTGTACATTGGTTTTTGGCTGGCCACTCCATTTAAAATTTTCTACAAATATCAGTACAAAGTGTATCTATGGTTTTATAATCACAACACCCCTCAGAAACAGCTATTTAGTGAATTTAAAATCATATTTTTAATACTTAAAATCCTTTACAAGTCTGCAACATTTGATAACAGCTGTTGTTTGATGCAGAGGTAAAGGTTTTGCAAAGGTGGTCGTTGATAAACTACAAACGTTTTCCCTGCTAAAACCTCAGATGCTCACTAAAAGCAGCCTTTTCAATACATCCATTAAAAAAAAAAGGATTTGTTTATTTTCTGGTTTTATTGATATTGCAGCATTTGTCAATATTGCTGTGTGTCACATATGTGGCATCCCTAAACTAGTAGTCCAAACTAACCTGACTGTATGTGAAAATTAAATCTTCACCTATGATCTGGTTATGCTACCCTTGTTTGCAGCAGTGGCTAGTGAGTCTTCGAGGGGGACGAATTTGACCAACACTCAGAATTATTTTAATTGAGGTTCTTGTCACATGTGAAGCATCACCCTGCCGTCACCATGTTTGTCAGCATGTAAAGAGGATAAATCCTCAGAAATGTTGTTTTTGTCTTATTAATCAAAAGATTGTTTTTCACAATGTATCTGGGATCCAGTTGAATTTTTCAGTTTAGCAATATAACGCCAACTACTAAAACTTGCCATCTTAAGGTTTAACAGAAACTTCTCAATCAGTTCATACAGTCATATTGGTTAAAAGTTTCTAATCAGGAGAAGCGGTTGATTGCATCCAGTCATTGACATGCAGGACACACTTCTCCTGAAAGTGCTTGAGCCCAAGATATTTGTGTGCATCAAGTCAATCCCTCACACTGAGCATGCATGTAGCGAAAGTGGAGAGGAAAACTCCCTTATAAACCAAGCTCAGTGTTAGCGGCCTACAGCAGAGGCTGACTCGGGTGGAGGGGAACAGAAGCAGACATACAAAAGGCAACTGTCAACCCACTCCACAGACGGCCCCGCCAGGAAACACACAGCCAGGCAGACGAGCTCCAAGCCAGCTCCCATGCAAGAGGATAAAAGAGAGCACAAAGTTAGTCACAGTCAGAGAAACAGGACTACACTGAAAAACAGGCCAAGCTCCAACATCTATAAACAAAGATGTTGATGGCAGCAGCATAGCTGATATTTCTCTCCAGGATGGTGTCAAAGCCAAACAGGAAGTGAAGCTGCTATGAGAAAAAGCAAAGAGAGCATAATGTTAGAGATTGAACTAACAGATTCTGCACAGTGGAAGAATAGAGACAGAATGAAGCAGAATGATGAAAAGCGGCCCCTATGTCCTCCAGCTGTCCAAGCCTATAACAGCATAACTATAGAGATAGCTCAGGATAATCTCAAACACTCTAACAATAAGATTTATTAAAAAGGAAAGTTTTAAGCCTAACCTTAATAATAGGTGTCTGCATCACGGACTAAAACTGGTAGTTGGTTCCACAGGAGAGGAGCCTGATAACTAAAATATCTACCTCCAATTCTACTTTTAGAAATTCTAGGAACCACTAGTAAACCTGCAGATTTAGAGGGAAGTGCTCTGTTAGGAACATAAGGAACAATCAGACCTCTGATATAAGATGGAGCTTGGCCATTTAAGGCTTTATATGTGAGAAGGAGGATTTTAAATTCTATTCTGGATTTAACTGGAAGCCAGTGAAGGGAAGCGAGGATAGGTGAAATGGTGGCTGCAGCATTTTGGATCAGCTGAAGGCTTTTAACTACAGTTTGTGGACTTCCTGATAGTAAAGAATTACAATAGTCCAGCCTTGAAGTAACAAATGCATGGACTAGTTTCTCAGCATCACCCTTGGTCAGGATATTTCTAATTTTTGCAATATTCTATTTTTACTTAATTCCTACAAAATATTATTTTCACAACATTACTTTGTTAACGAGTTGCCTTGCAGCAAGAAGGTTCTGGGCTCGATTCCTGGCCTGAGGTCTTTCTGCATGGAGTTAGCATGTTCTCTCTTTGTATGTCACAGTGTTGCCCTGCGACAGACTGGCGACCTGTCCAGGGTGTACCCCATAGAGAGCTGTTTCAGTGCTATAGTGAGCTCTAAAGCCAGACGGAAACTTTTTGAAAGGTTCATTGTCATGTAAACTGTGACACACTTGCTTAGCAACTATTTTCTCAAGAATTTTACATAAGAAAAGAAGACTAGATATAGGTCTATAATTGACCAAGGCATCAGGGCCAAGAGATGGTTTAAGTAAAGGTTTAATTACAGCAACCTTAAAAGACTAAGGGGCATATTCCTGTAACAGGGATAGATTAATCACATCTAAAATGGAGGACACGATCAAAGGAAATACTTTGAACCTTAAATAACCTGGATGGAAATGGATCGAGCATAAATTGAAGGCTTAGATGTAGACAATAGTTTTGCTAACTCTCAAAGCTCAACTGGATGAGAACTGTCTCAACCCTGTTTCGATTCTATGGCTACCTCAGATGCTGCCTCACCTTCCAGAGATAAACCAATCATAGTTAGAGGAGTGCTGATGATGTTATTTTTAGTAGAATCAATCTTATTTTTAAAGAATCACATAAAATCATTGCTGCTAAAAGCAGGTGGAATGGACGGTTCAACAGAGCTATGGCTCTGGGTGAGTTTGGAAACTGGATGAAAAATATATCTACGATTATTCTTATTCTCCTCTAATATGCTGCTCTTGCTTTACGAAGGTTCATTTTATGCAGCAGTAAACTGCTTTTCCAGACTAGGTAGGACTACTGTAGCATTCTCTCCAATTTCCTAGCATTTTGCTTCAAAGTGCACAGCTCTGCGTTAAAAAGAGGAACCAGCTTTCTATTTTTAAAGTTTTTCTTTCTCAACAAAAAGTAAAACAAACAAAAAAGTATATTGATACTCTTGACCAGGATGTAAGAGAATGATACATCCAGAAGATCGCTACTGTTGGGATCAACACTTATATAGCATATAAGCAGAACACTTCGGCAGGCAAACTCCCTCTGTTATCCTTCTATAAATCACTAAATGACTTAGTGAAGAGCCCTTACACAATGGAGGAGCTTCACAGAGTCAATGGACTCAAATAATCAGTGTCTTAACATCTTTGTAAAAGGATGGCAAAACTGTTCAATTCAATAATTCAAATAATTGAAATAACATCGATGTACATGTCTGTCATAGCTTGTAGATACAGATTACACACCCACACAGCTAAATGCTGGCACTGTTGAACAGAAGGGTTGATGTCTTTACTGGAATATAAGGGATTAGGGAGAAGATGAGTTGCTATTTTCAATGGTTTATAGCAGTAGATGTTTCTAAG